CTAGCCTTGCGATAACGCCTTGAACGTCGAGTGAAATACATGAAATACGTGTCCAAAAATAGGATAGCATGCGATACACTGGTGACCACGAGGTCACCGCGCGGCACATCAAACTCCAGAGCAATACGGACAATGTAAGTGATTACCTGCGGACGGTCCAGTCAAGCCCCCACATCAATCCGTACGAGACCGGAGTTTCGTCTATATTTGCACCGTATTGCCGAAACGAATTATGAACACCAGTCACCTTTTCTAAAGAGGTGACTCTTGCGATAATGGGACAGCCACGGCCCGCCATAAACACGGATGGATCCCATCCGTGGTGAACCTGCCGTGAAATTACGCTTGCCATGGCGAGATGTCACATTTGGCCAATACATGCATCAGCGCGCAAAAACACAGTGCGACAGGAAGACTCATCGACAGTCAAGTGAGTCGAGATTAAGAAACAAGCCGCTTTATCGGATATCGTAAAAGGCGTGCACGACCGGCGCAAGTCGGTTAGGCTTGAAAAAACTCAAGGATAATCATACACTTAAATGTCTAGTTAGCAAAATGAGCTTACCTCAGCTTCAATTTCAGCTATCTTTTGAAGGATGCTCATTGTAGCGAAACAGATAAAGCCGACAAGGGTTGAGGACGGAGGTGTAAGAAGTGTGCGACCGAACACGGACTTCGACCAAGCGGGACTTCGGCCACTGATTGGTCAATGCGTCTCATGTCTGGTCATGGCCATCACTTTTGTTGTGCCGTCATCCTCATGCTCATTGGCTGAAATCTCAATGGGGGGAATGTCCGAAAATGGTGGCCGAGCTGAATGCAGGGCCGATCCGTAGACGACCGGGGTTTGCAAAGGGAGATTTTAACATAAGGTTTAAACATTTGATGGTATTAATCGAGCACCTAAAATTTCCCTATCCGACCGAAGTTTTGTTAGAATTTGTTTAAACGTACTCAACATCCACTGTGGGCATGGAATTAATGTTTTAATGGCTGCCGATAACCATCCATGATGTCCCAGTGAAAGTGGTGGTGTGTTTCATGGAGAGGTTTGGTTCACTGATCCACGGATTGATGCGCGGGATCCAGGCTTTGGCTCAAATTTCCAGGTCCGTTTGTTGCTGTCGGTCAGCAGCTTCCGTTCACCTACAAGGCTCAGGCAAAAAATGGCGAAGCGCCGTTCTTCAAGTCCTCAGCGCGGAACAGGAATCTTTCCATGGCGAGTACTAATCCAAAAAGGGGCATAAAAGTTCCTTGATCCCTGTTTTAGATAATAATAATAATAATAATAATAATAATAATAATAATAATAATGTTTACTCTCATCTTGTGAATAACCGTGAACAACCGCCGGAGAAAATTTAGTCCACACACTAGCCACCCGAAATAATGAGAATTTTGCCAAAAATGTATGCATACTGAGCTTCAAAATCTCCTTAATATTCCCCCGCCGTTTGTTCGCTCCGTCAAAGGTGAGAAAACGTAAACCAAACCCAGTTCAAACAGGGCACAAATGACCACCAGGTCTCTCCAAAGGCAACGGTACCCCAGGAGAAGTAGGCCTAGCGCTGCGAGACGGGTTTCACGATCAAGGGATTTAAGAGTGGCAATCGTTATCGTGGCAACTCGGACACACTCAACGTGGGTTGGTCTTTCTTGTGTCTTGGGTAGAAAATTTGTTTGGCGTATTCAAGCAGCGGTCTGATGTGGGCCGCATTGGGTGTCTGGAAGTCCTTGCGAGTGATACGAGAGATGGTTCGCTGGATCATCCGTGGAGCGGCAAAGGTCTTTGGAACCGACTTTTTCTAGTGCATGTTTGAAGGGAGCCGGATAAGTTAAAAAAAATTTATTATCTATCATCGTAATGCCTTCTAGGCCATTCTTATCCTGCACGACAAAGTGGTTCGCTGAGTCTTCTCCGGCGCATTTCACGTGATTCAGAGGAAGATGCCAATCCAACAGCTGCTGCTTTGCGGTGCCTACATCCGTTTGTAGGGCACTGGTATTTGGACCCGAGAACTGCAAGTCATCCGCAAAAAGTAGACGTGGTCTTTCAAGAACATCTGGAAAATCGTTGACGTATATCAGAAACAGCAGTGATTCCGAAACTCCCATAAGTCAGAGTTGATGCAAATGTCCAACGGACCCTATGCGCTGGGGTTCCATCCAGGTGGCCTTTGGAACGTTAAAATCACCTAACAGCAAGGGATGTGTGAATTGGTACTTGGGGAAAGTTGCGTAAGGGATTTATGAGGAGCCGGTTTTCTTTCGGTTGATTCCAGGGGTAATGGTAGAACACCCCGAGAAAAAGAGTCCCGTGATGTAGGATTTGAATCCACAGTGCATCGCGAAACTTGCAGGAGCTGTGTTGGAGGGGAAAGTCCGGATATGCAGAGCCGCATGTAAGCGTAAATCTATGCCGCCTGACGACCCGCGTTTTCAACCGGATCGGAAAACGAAATAGGCCTCAGGGACGTTTGATGTTATCCAGTCTCTGGAAGTGCGATTATGAACGGCTGCTTATGGCAGGCCGACTGTTTAATATCACAAAGTTTGCTGTCGTGGACAGGCAATACCTCTGATGCTTTCGAAAGTAGGGAGCTTGCTGTTGTGCTACCGCAGAGGTTAGAGGACTCAGTAGCTGCATGCTAATCAAACGCCATGAGAGTGCTTCTGTGGCATACTTGTTTGCTTCAAAGGAAAATGCATTTGTTTGTTTTCTTGGGCTTTTGGGCGTTGTGACCGGTCAACCCAGGTCATCTGAGGTCATGGGGAACGACTGTGTTCAACATCGGAGAGGCTGGTTTTGACAGAGTGAGGCGGGAAGCAATCAATGTTCGGTTTTCCGTGGTTGTGAGGTTCTTGCAGCAGTTTCCCACATCACTGTCAACGCTCTTGGTTGATCTCACAGTGGACCTTGCTGCTCGTCTCCCTACAGCTGACACAGTTCAGCCCAGAACTTTTGAACTATGTGCGGAGCTCACCGCTTAGCATATGTCGCCCTGTAGGAAAATAAACGAAGATGATTCCACCCGCTTTGAATGCTGCATCCATGCAAGTCTTATCTTCTCCTGAGCATTGTTTCCGTTGGTAGTCGAGGACTCTCCAAGTTCGAATGAAAACCGCAAACCGTAGATGCAGTCTGTTGCGGCTTCGTGCTTTCAAGAGTACATGGGTCCACCACCAACCACGGGGGTTTGCCAGAAGTTTGGGGTCAGCCGAACTTTTGCCAAGGGGCAGTTTCTTACAATCTGGCCCTCTAGGTCTGTTGTGGCCCAGTTTTCTCGCGCCTATAGAGCGATCCTCGGATAACCATAACAGTGTTTATTCCCAACTTGTGGGTGGCACACTGTCCGGCATGATCATATGTATACAGCCAGAACGAAGCATGACTGGCAAATCTGCGGATAGTGCGGATTGCGCGAAAAGAGGACAATGTCATAAACGGTGGGAAGTATTCGATGAGATAATAATAATAAGTTTCTCTCACAACATGTTGGGAGCGATGGGCATGAGGTCAGACTAGTTCAAAGATATACCCGGCTGGTAAAACTGTGGTATAATCTTAGACCAAACAGACTCACCGGTCGCACTGTTGTAGGGAGGTCAGATGCAGGGGACAGGCTTGATGGGGTCAAAGAGCTAATACATCGGGCGACCCGAACAACGTATACGGATTTGAACTTGTGGAGGAGACAAGCCGAAACTGCAGCAGAAAAATCAGGCTAGCCAAATTTAAGCAAAAATTCAACAGGTACGAAAAGCCTCGTTCAGGAGACGGGGTCGGATGAAAAATCTGCTCGTAGTTGCGACTACAGGCTTGAGTGGGAGAGGGGTTGCGGTCGAAATTCTGAAGAAAATAATTGCTGGAGTGCCGTCTCACTGGGTGTGGCAGTGCCATACCATCATTGCGTTGATCTGTTTTGGTTTATGGACAGCCCCCAACAGTCACTAAAAGTGCCCAGATCGGAGGGGGGATACACATTTCCATGGCAGCTGGATCTCATTTAGACGGAAAGATTGACACAGAGTCAGGCGAGTGAAGGGTAACAGATAATTTCCCTTTTGTTGGGGGACCATGTGAGTGTAGACCGGGGACTAGCCAGTTTGAATGAATAACAGTTCTACGGGGCGTTCGGGCAACTGCAGTCGAGGTTTGAAGCCCGAGAAGAGGGGCAACCAGGAGGAAATAGAATAACAGCGATAGTGTGTGGCGAATGTCAGGGGGCATAAGATACAACGGTGTCAATAGAAAAATCTAAAAGGGAATGACAGCAAGCTAAATGAACCCAAGAAAGGTGAATACGTTTGCTGATCTAAAAGCCAAGTACTAGTTGAGCCAGAGCAGGTGCCCAGTTTTAGCAAGGTAAGAACTTTGTCGTCGATGTGTCTAGTAGGGAGGCTAGCTGTTGGACTAGTTGGAACGGGCGATAGTTTCTAGCTTACCAAAGGGTGATGAGATAGGGTCTGTGTTGTGAAAAAAGGAGTTAATGTGAGCAGCGACAGTAGACAAGCAACAGGCATACAGGCAACAACTTCCCAGATAATTGATAATAATCGTAGCTTAAATGAGATCTAATACGTCAACCTAACAGTAAAGTAAGATTAAGGATCATCATTCGCCGAGTCACTGTTGCCAACTCCAGAAAACGAATGGTGCATGGTGAAAAACAGTCACTAAGTGCTAGCCGTGACTCCGTTTAATAAGCAAATAATGAGTTATCTGCATTTTGTGCATATGATCGCCCCAGATGACAAGTAGGAAAAACATGTGTGCTATGCTTAGATGATGAAGGAGATTTGGGGTGGTGTGACACAACTAAGACGAAGATGGCAACTCCTTGCACGTCGACGTGGGCACCGTTGATGGTGAGCAGGAATCCTCTGCGTTTCTCGTAGTGGAGGGGGTTTTGGAACAGGAAGTCTAGATACAGTTAAAGGTCGTAGAGGTGGAGCTGCATGTGGCTCCGGAGGGAGCGAAGGCTGTAATGGAGTAGGTGGTTGGCGAAAAGGGATCCCAGGAATATAGTACGCGGGTTTCCAGAAGGGCGGAACTTGATAGGGGCCAGGATTATGTAATTGTAGTTGCGGTCTAGAGATCCTTTCGGGGAACTGCGTTGCATGGTCAGAGGGGCTACAGATGCGCTTATGAGGAATTACCGGTTTAGTCGGGTTTGTAGAAGAATGGTGAAGATCAAGAGCTCGGGGGGTTGGTGCAGGAGAAGGGTTTAAATTGCGAGGCTTGGACAGCGGATGTTTGATCCCAAGGAAGTGCTTTGGTGGGGAGACACGAAGTGTCATTAGGCCAGAGGGTCTAGGGCAAGAGCCTGTACTATCATCCTCGAATATAGCCTCATGTGAAAGCTGATTAGTTACCGCATCTCTTCAACCAGCGGTCGATCTTTTTGGCGTGGCGGGGTCAGAGATAACGTTTAAGGGTGCCCATGGAAAGAAGTGGAGGGCCCGCAGTCACGAGCACGGGATGCAGGACCTGAGTCTAACAGGCAGGTTTGTGTTACATGGTGGCACGCTTCAGCGCAGATAGTGGCGGCTGATGGGGCAACAGGTTCAGGTAACTTTTTGGTATGCTGTCTTTGCATTCCAGTGCGGGCAGACTTAATTTTTAATGTGTGGATTTTTTACGGAGGAGAGTAGGATCTTTGCTGTTAGCAGACGGATGGCACTCTTTTCATCCCAAAATTGCATTTATTTCGTCAGGATGGGGCAACAAGGTAACTTTTTGGTATGCTGTCTTTGCATTCCAGTGCGGGCAGACTTAATTTTTAATGTGTGGATTTTTTACGGAGGAGAGTAGGATCTTTGCTGTTAGCAGACGGATGGCACTCTTTTCATCCCAAAATTGCATTTATTTCGTCAGGATTTAGAAGGCACACGATCGACTGTATGGTTCGGAGAGAGGACAAGATGAAAAATGTATTCATTTTCCACGCGTTCTGAGATTTTTCTAGGTCATTCAGGACCTGGGAACCTACTGCAGCGGTGGAAGAAATGTTGTTGGGCTAAGGAGGAAAGGATACTTCAGGTAGTACAACTGAACAATCTGAGGTCGCTTGGAATACCGTCTTTGCCGGCCTCGAAATATGAGGGGGTTTGGAGCTGGGTCTTCTGGCTCTAAGCCGCTTCTCTGAACATACTGTGAGGGCAGATGACAGGGATTCGGGATTTAGCTACTACTCTGAGGAGACACATTGGAGTGGTGTCATAATGAGATACTTTGGAGCAGGTTTGGGTAGTCCAGACAGGAATGTGGAAGCGTGGGACAGTGGCGGCACTTTGACAGGAACGATTGTGAGGATGAGAACTAAACGCGCTCGACGAACTAGGGCTAACACCGATTAGGCCTACTGGAGAAGGGAGACCCATTTGGCCTTTAAGATCGCAACCAATCTGACGACCACCGTAAAAAAAATAGTTATCCGGTATAAAAACTGCTTGAAGACCTGCGGATGGGTAACGGATCCACGGATTCACTGATTGATGCACGGGATTAATGCCTTTTCCCAAGTTTCCTGGGTCGGTTTTGTTCTTGTCGTTCAGCGGCTGCCGTTCACCTGCAAGGCATAACTGAAAAAGGGTGTAGCACTGGTCCTGCAAGGCAAACTGAAAAAGGGTGTAGCACTGGTCTTTGTTTTCTCATAGCGGGGCAGTATGCTCGCCAGAATCCAAAAAAGTTTCCACAGCACCTATTTAAACCGAACTGAACTGAAAGGTAACAGCATGGTTCACCGGTCTCTAAGTCACTCTGTCAGCTCCAAAATAGTCAACAGTTTACAGTACTCCACATATGCTTCATTCCTGTACATTCACAAGCAACATCATTTGGCCGCATATTTCTTTATGAACCGTTCGGTTAAGTATGACGCAGATGGGGAGGCGGTTGTTGGTTTACGATCACATGACATACCGCACACATCCTTTTTGAGTGTTCCATGAAGTGCTTATGTTTCTACAAAATATAAAGACCATTTCTAAATTCCAGCACCCACGACTGGCTCCTACCGGCTGCTTTTACTATTCACAACTTTTTCCTCGGAACTGACAGCAGTGACTCAGTGAC